TATTTTTCCCGTGCTGCTTTCAGGATTCCGTCTGTCTTTGGTTTTGATGAGTTTGATGATGATGTGTCTTGGTGATTTTCTTTTGGGGTTCGTTGGACTTCCTGAATGGATATATTCTCATCTTTCATCATATCAGGGAAGTTCTCCTCGAGCAAATCTTGGACAATTTTCTCAGTGATTTTATTTTTCTCTTCCTGTTCTGGAATTCCAATGACACGTTAAGTTATTCCTTTTGATGGTATCCCACGTGAACCTTAGGCTTTCTTCGTTTTGTTTTGATTTTTTTTTTTTTTGATTGATCCCTTTCCAAAGAAATATTCATGTATTTGTCTTCAAGCTCACATTTTACTTTCTAAATGTGGGACCCCATGTCTTCCATCAATTCTGGAATATTAGCCTCTTTTTGCATATCACTGCTCCCCAATTTTGTCCATCGTGAGCTCTGAACATGTTGAACTTCTTTTTCCATATCTCTTCAAACCTTCTCGTTTTCCATCTTTTTCTTGTTTTGCTGTATTGTGTGGTATTTGTGGTTTTTTTTTTTTTTTTTTCAATTTGTCTTCTAAGTTTATTTTCTATTTGGCAATTTCCTTGGAAGAAAGGTCTGGTGATGTACTTCTAAAAAAAGTCAGCCATTGAAAACCTTATGGAGTTTGACTTCGACATACAAGGGTTGCCGTGAGTCAGAGCTAACTTGATGGTAACTGGTAACCTTCAATTTAACTTGTTCCCTAAGATTTTCATGTCAGTATTTTTCCTATCTAGAAGTTATTTGGCTCTTTTGCAAGGTTCTGGGCTTTCTTATTTTTAACCCTACCCCTTTTTTTCTTTAAATTTCTTTGAACAGTCATCTGAAGTTATTATGGAAGAATGTTAATACTGAGTTTGTTTCTATTGACCATTACTCAGGGTGTTTTACTTTCAAATGTGGATTGTATAAATTCTAAATTCTGGATTTGAATGAACTTTGTGTTACGAATTCATGTTTCTGTTAGGCCTCCAGGGTTAAGGTGTGTTCTTGCATGTTGTGGAAATGATTTGTGTTTCCTTCAGCCAGGAACCATCATACCTGGGATGACTGAAGTTAACTAGTTTATGGTGTTCTGGACCATAGGTCATTTAAACTCTAGTCCTGTAAGGTACCCCTCACTTTACACCCGGATGGAGACAGACTAGTTGTCGTCATCTTACAGTATCCTGTCGCTAGTGGGCCAATTTGTCTTTTTCAGTCTGAGCTTTCACTGAGGGAGCTCTTGGTTCCAAACCCTCATCTTGCAGATGGCCAAACTCTGCCTTCCGTTAAGATAAATGCTTAAATTATTGGGGTTGAGAAATGTCACAAGGTCAACTTTAGTTCAGCTCTTACAGTCAGTGATTCAGTCTTGGGATACCAGAATTATAGGACCATACCTATCCATACCAGAAGAATGAACAAACCTGTCCTGGAAAAAGTGCAGCTGGAATGCTCCTTGGAAGAGAGAATGGCCAGACTTGGTCTCACCTACCTTGATTGATCATGTTGTCAGAAGGGACCATTCCTTGGAGAAAGATACCATGTTTGGTAAAGTGGAGGGTCAGTGAAAATGGGAAGGACTTTCAACAGGGTAGATTGACAAGTAGGTACAATAATGAGCTCAAGTATAGAAAGGATTGTGAGGATGGTGCAGGATTGGGCAATGTTTCGTTCTGTTGTACACAGAGTCACTATGAGTCGGAGCTGACTCAATGGCACCAAACAGCAACAGCATAAAGGAAATAGAGCCCTATCACTCGGGGTGGGTAGATTGTTAACTTTGTGCTGCTGCCAAGAGGTGGTTTCTCCTCTTGTGAGGATCTCACTCCAAGCTATGCAACTCCAGCCAAGAAGTGATTAATGCAAAAAAAGAGTCTGTCTGCAGCACCTGTAAGCAAATGTTTATGGATAAAAAGAATGAACTGTTCTGCGGAAGGGGCAAGGTAGTTGAAGTGGGATGGATTTTACTCAAAGTACCAAGATGGGATGTGTCATTTAATATAATACAGTGCCTCAAACTGAATTAAAAATAAATAAATTTGGAGTAGTATGAGATATTTTATGCAGTAAATCCCCAGATTATGAACATCTAACTTAAGGAAAACTCATACTTGCCTTTAATGTTATTCAAATTTGCCTTCACTTTGAAATGAAGTGCCCTCACTTCATCACAATAACCTTCACTTGCTACACGTGCAGCTGTTAAAAAGCTTCCAGCTTTTTCTTACACTAAAGTAAGGTATGCACTTGCTCCAACTTAACCTAAAAATTGCAGTTAAAGACACAAGTTAGGACCAGATTTTGTTAAACCCAGGGACCCTGCCTGTACATAGAAAAACACAATGAAGTCAAATGTCAAGACTCAATTATTACTGCTTTGAATTTTTTGTTGAAACTATGTGTTTTCAGTAGCATTTTGAATGAAACGTTAAAAATTTGAGGCAATTTGGATTTTGATATAGTTGTTATTTGCCATCAACTCAGACCCCACTCATAGCGACCCCTCCTTGGGTTTCCGAGGCAGTGTCACTACGGAAGTAGATTGCCCAACCTTCCGAGGGGTAGCTGGTGGGTTTGAACCAGTTAGTGATACACAAAAGGCACTTTGGTGATACAGCGAGTAAGGCATATGGCCGCTAAACAGAAGGTTAGCAGTTCCCACCAGCTGCTCTGCAGAAGGAAGATGGGGCAACCTACGTCAGTAAACAGCTACCACCTTTCCAAGTTTTGTGAGGGGGGAGGCACTGAATTGAAATCAACTCGATAGCAGTTTTTTTTAAGTGGAATACATATCCTGAGGGGTTTCTGGTACTGAAGTTGTTGGGATGGGGTAGTTTGTTCAAATTGATGCAATTAGATAGGCTGTCACTAGATGGCAGCATGCACTTTAAGTGGGCACTGCATGTCCCACAGGTCACAAAAGGGTTAAAAATCTAGCTTTTAAAATACTATTCAAAACAAAATGTGTATTTCCTTCTGGCCTGATCTACTCCCAGAGCCCATAGGCAGCATGTCATCCATGGAAGTGAATGTGGACATGTTGGAGCAGATGGACCTGATGGACATATCTGACCAGGAGGCCCTTGATGTCTTTCTGAACTCGGGCGAAGATGACACTGTGCTGTCCCCCGTGTTAGGTAGGACTGAGACACTTGCCTACACTTAATTATATACGTGATTTCCCTCCAAAGGGAAGACAGTGATTTGACTAGGTAAGCCTGTTGTGTTGTGTGCTGTCGAGTCGGCCCTGACTCATAGTGACCCCTCCTTGGGTTTCCAAGGCAGTATCACTACAGAAGTAGATTGCCCCATCTTCCTTCCGAGTGGCTGGTGGATTTGAACCGCCAGCCTTCTGGTTAGCAGTCAAGTGCATTAACCACTATGCTACCAGAGCTCCCGAATGTAAGCCTAGTCAACTTATTCCACTAAACCTGTATTTCCCATATATTTCTGTCTTTAAAAACCCTATTTCCACATCTGTGTTTGGATTAGAAGTAGTGAGGCAAAGTGGCATTGGTTTGTTCAGTCATGAATTTTAAATGCTCTCCTCACCCCCAACCACTTTCAGAGTATAGGAGGCTTTCTTATTTCATGTTGTACTTCCTCTCAGAGTATTTTTAGGTGAGTTGTTGTGGTTATCTTAAAGACTAGACATTTTGGTAGCTCCATCTCTCCTGTGAGATGTCCATCCTTTGTGTGTGGGTTTGTCTCCCGCTTTGCTCAGAAGATACTTACTTGAATGTCTCCTGTGAGGAAGGCCATTGTGTTTAGCACTTACACAGTATTTTAAAAATTGCAACCCAAAATTTTATTTCACAAAATTGAATATTCACCAAATACTTACTGAGGCACCAGATGTACATCTGGGCTCACTACATGTTAGATTTCAGACCCATCCTTCTATGTGGGTCTTTATTATCACCACTACAAAGAAAGCTTTGACATGTTTTCCACATATAGAAGCCAGAAAATATGGCTGACTTGGAAAGGGACACATAAAAAGCTATGTGATACCTTAACATGAAGTTCTGACTCCCTAACTGCAGCATTAGTTTTAAGAAAAGCAGTAGAACCCCTGAGGAGCAAGACAGTGAGTGGATAGCAATGGCGCAGTTGGTGCCAACTCAGACCCTTTAGCAGCAGTGGTTAGCTCTGGAAAACCCACGATTATCATGGTTTCTACTTCCCTCCAAAGTCAAACTGCTGAGGTTTTTGTTAACATCTCAATGAACAGCTATATCCTCCTCTTCCAGCCAGTCTGTGAGGATGGGGTGTCCCAGAGAGATAAAGGCTTAGATGGACTTGCTCTTCAGTCCTGGGGAGCCCTTAACATTGGGCATGGGACTCAGGCTGCCTCTAAATGTGGCCATGACTCTCTTACTTGCATACATACAGCTTATTTAGTTCCCACGATATTGGGAACACTACTAGAAGGTCACTAATCCTTTCTCTTTTCTCATTGGTTTCTCCGGAGTGTATGTGAAAGGATATAAAGAAGTCTAGATTTAGCACGGTTACATGGACTGTGGTCCAAATACATTGCACATAGTGCCTGCCCTGTACTCTATACCTTTGCATACTGTTCTGCAGGTTTTTGTACTTTTAAAGGAAGCATGAGCTCTCCATCCATCACACGTAACTCTCTTAAGAGGCACAAGGATCATGCATAGCTCGGGGCCCACTGGCATCACCCACAGGCAGTGCCTGAACCGTGAGCAGCAGCCTAGCTCTGGCCTCAGATTCCCAGAACAGAAAGCTTTATTCTCCTTTTATTCTGTGTGTTCAGTGGTAATTCTAAACTACAATAATTTTATGAGGTTTTTTTTTAATCCCCACTTTATTTTGCAGGGCCTGAATCCAGTACACGTCCAATACATGAAATTACTCTTCAGGTTCCAAATCCCTCAGAATTACGAGCCAAGCTGCCTTCATTCTCTCTCTGCACTGACTCGGCCACACAGGACCCCAGTGAAGGTGGGCGGTCACCCCTGGTGCAGTCTGATGAGGAGGAAGTCCAAGTGGACACTGCCCTGGCCACTTTGAACACTGATGGGAAGGCCACCTCAGATGGTACTGATGACAGCGACTCCTAAATCAGGATACTCCTCCTTTTTCTCTGACCACATCTGAATGAAGCCTCAAGTTGGGCAGACTTCACCTATAAAGTCAGGTTGTTTTATGGAAGTTCTTGATTTTTACAACATTGCCAATAACTTGTGAGGGACTGAAGTACAGCTAACAATAAAGTTTGAGGACTTTAAGCATTAAAACAAGAGTACATAGCCAGTTTGTTTTATGAAGAACGGCTTCCAAGTACATCTATCTGTAAAACCAGTGTAAACCACCGAAGGCTCTGAGTGGCTGAGGCTGGGGTCAGCGAGGGTCCCGTGACCTGGCAGTTCCACACCCACACAGTCCTTCAGAGAGTGAGTGGCTTGCCCCTTACAGACAGATAACTCTACTTTCCTTTAAAGTGTAACTGATTGCAGTGAAAGTCAGTTCTAATAAAGCCTAGTAGTATTTCACGTGAGCATTACAATCAGCAGGCCAACCCTACTTTATTGTAAGCACACACGTGGCCAGAAGGAGCACGGTAAACCTGAGCCAAGAGCAAGACTCATTCCTGGAAGGAAGCTGAGCCCAGAGATGGTTCCCTTCCACCATCACTCATGGCCCAGCACTGAGGACAGGATGGTTTTCTGAAGGACAGACTCTTGGTCAAACATGAGTGGCCGTGTGGAGGAGGGAGAAACCTAGCACCCGGGGAGGGCTCCAGGGAGCCACGTGCAAAGGAAGAGTAATGAGCAACCCTTGGTTTTGCTCAAAAGGGATTCAAACCACCTGAATCCTGGAGGAAACCCAAGTGAGCACGATTTGAATGTGTGGTCTGTTCTATACCAGGGTGGAGTACGCTTGGCCCTCCTATCAGAAAGGGCTCATTTCATTCACTCATCTTCCACAAGACAGACAAATGTCCAAAAAATGCTTTTATTATTAAACCTTGTAGTACAAACCTGAAAAGTAAACAAAAAACTGGCAACAAACAACATGAAGTCGTCCCTTATGAGGGAAGAGTGCAGAGCAGCGCTAATAAATTAACGTCAAACTGTAAGCCGTAGGCAGAAGTTTACTGTCCAAAAGAGGGAAAGTATACAGCAAGGCCATAAAAACCGGACAACCACATTGGAAAACACTTGACTCTGTTCATGTCATTGTTAAATATCCAAAACAGTTCAGTCTTCTGCAACAACAATCAACAAAGCGAATCGTAGGACTTTCCTGACATCACCACCGGCAAGCTCAGTGCAGCATGGGAGCCACGGGACTGAGGGGTTCAATTATGAAACAAAGAACAGTTTGTGAAAACAGTTTCCCTTTTTTATTCCACACATACTGTACACACAACCCAAGAAGGGCAACAGCTACTCCATTATTATTGTTGTTGTTCCGTGATGTAAGCAGCACTTATAAATGTTACAAGAAAAACCCTGTAAGCATCCAATCCAACCGATGAAGAAACTGAAATGTAAGGCTTTTCTTCATCTTGTCTTTCCAACCCCCTCCCCACCCCTCCCAAGAAAAAGGCTCAAGTATTTAAAACAATTTACAGGCATATGTACAAAAGGGATGGGTTTTTTTTTTTTCTTTTTCCTTTTTGTTACAACATGAAGAGGAAAAATAGACAAGATGAGCGCTAACGTATTTCACATTCAGAAAGAACGGCAGACCTCCTAGTGGCTCTAAACGTGACCATCAAACAAACCCAGAGAGGTTAATGCTGACTGACGGTGTGAGACAACAGCAGTGAGATGAAGATGGAATGTTACAAAAATTGCACATCCAGGACAGAGAAGCACGGTGGCTTCTACCACTTGTTTCCTTTTTTTTTTTTTTCTCTTTATGGATGCTATTGAAGGGTTTTTTGATAAAGTAGCCAACAGCACCAAAAAAATAACAGAATGGATTTCCTAATGAAATCAGGCACAGTTTTCCCTCACGTGACCCCTCCAAGGCAGGCAGTCTTTTTCTTCTCTCTTCCTTTTTTTTCCTTAAACAGATGCATAGTGATGTGCTGGTAAAGAGAACCTAGTCACTCAAGTCTCCTCCTCTCGCCCGTGGTTAGCAAACGTCTGCCTTCAGCTGCCATAACCGCCCAGAGACACAAAACGGGGGTGCTCCGGTTTTAAAAACTACAAACTCATCTTGCACACGACAGAAGGAAAAAAAAAAAAAAAAGACAGCCAAAGTAAAGCCATTTCTTTTCAAGTTTGTATGTGTGTGTGTCTCCTATCCCTTTTCCTCTCTAGAAAAATCTCATGACTGGTGGTTTTATTAATTTGTTCTCCAAACTTCACCCTCTTCAAAAATGGGTTTTAAAAAAGCCTTTTTTTTTTTTTCTTCCCCAACAGTTTAAAAAAGAAAAAAGAAACCAAACAAACAAAAAAAGGCTTTTGTCAGCCATAGGGGCGATACAAATTAATATAGCCCCTCACGGGTTTTAAAACAGTGAGTATACGGCAGTTTCAAAAATCCGACTGCAGTATCTAGGTATTCTAAGTACAAAAAAAAGTTCAACAGTTTAATGCTAAAACAAAATTAGTTCTCTAAAACCAGAAGAAAATCTTCTTTAGAGCTAGTGCAAAGACAGCTTGTATCCTACAGCAAGTACTCCAAACTAGAATATAATAATTACAAAAAAATATATATAAATGGACAGAGTGTTGGCATCTTCATGACGAGCTCGAAGCACTTTTGGATGAGCTGGAGGAGGAAAGCCGGGACGGTGGCACTTCCACGGTCGCTCGCTTGCGGGGCCCTCTTTTTGGTGTGGGTTTACTGAGACAGTTCTCAATGCTGCCATTCTTACCAGACACTTTGCCACAGATCTGATTGACCAGGCTGATAATCTGCTCCTGTCGAGGGGTGAGAGGAAGACACAGAATTAACACCAAACCAGAGGGGGAGGCGGCTGGGCACCCTCCAGTCGCCGGGGGGTCCTTCCCCACCAGGAGAGCAGACCGGACTCTCCAGCCCTCCCCAGTGTACAGTGAGAGAGAGTGAGCTCAACCCCTCATGAGAACAAGACACCTCGTCAAGGAAAGATAACAGCCACTTCCCATGAAAGCCAGCCTGGCATGGATGAAGGGCCGGTACAGAGATGATGGGGAGTGGAAGCAGCACCGGCCAGAGGGCAGAGGATCAAGACATTGATATGCTAAAAACATCCTTGGATGAAGTTCCCTAGATGACAAATGTAACAATCATTTCTTAAGCACAAACTGCACTCAGATGTGCTCACAGCCACAGGTGTGTCTGCCAAAGTCACCATGCAGATGAACAAATTAACAGGCCCATCCCCACCAACACACAGCTGGCACCATGGTCTACCCTCCCCTAGCCAGGAGGGCAGGGCTGAGGCAGAGCACCTGCTGCCTGGCGAGGCAATGATGACAAAGGATCGAAACTCTTCTACCAGGTGATTACTGAAATAACCAAAAATCCCAAACACGCTGCTGTGGAGTTGGATCCAACTCACAGCGACCCCTCCTTGGGTTCACCAAGGCAGTAAGAAGTAGATTGCCCAACCTTCCTTCTGAGGAGGGGCTGCTGGGTTTGAACCAACAGCCTTCTGGTTAGCAGTCAAATGCCTTCAGCACTGTGCTACCAGAGCTTCTGATTACAGAAATAATACACTCAAATCCACTTAACCTTGACTTGCAAATAAATGCCAACACTTGTTTAAATATGTCTATCACTTCCTACCCTCTCTTCACTACAGGAAATGAATGCAACAAGCAAGCGTACTTGTAATCCACCCAAGGGAACCATTTACCCATGGGGCTTCAAACATGTCTAACTTCAACAACTCACCCTATAACTGTCCAGTTTTTTAAGAGAGCATGGAAGATTATCAAGAGGACATGCACCTGCTGTGGATGGAGCTGTGAAAACTGCAGAGGGCTCCGACAAAGTGGGTGCCAGGGAACACCCCTAGGAGTGCTCACTGCCTGACTTGAGCTATGAGCTCGGAGGGGAAGGGTCATGCATTTCAGACAAACAGCTAGAGCCACCTCAGGAGCATGAGGAAGGGCAGATGCCATGCAGACCTCCTTCCTGTCAAGGGCTGGCCACCAAGAGAGACCTCAGGCCCCAAGACTCCCTTGCTGAAATCAGTAGTGCCAGCTTGGAGCCTGCCTGTCCTGCCCGAGGGGGCCTGGCTGGAAGATAGGAGGAAGTAAAATGGCCACTGGCCCCAGCCAACAGGAAAGCCTGCCCACGGCTCCTGTGGACAGATCTGCTCAGCCCTGGAGCCACCCTGAAGGCTCTGCCCACATGTGGAAGCTGAAACTTCATAGGGGCCTGTGAGTGGCAGAAAACTGTGGGTGGCTCCCAGCAGGCTGTCCTGACTCATACCCACAGGACACTGGGTTCACCAGGCTTAGAACACGACAGCTTGTGGCCATACAGTCATTTGTGAAACCCAACTAATAACTAGGAATCCACCCCCCCCCCCAAAAAAAAGAGTTTCACCAATAGGGAATCTGCTTATTCATTTACTAAATTATGCCATTAGCCAAGTAACAGACTTCCACTAAACACTGTCTCTTCCTTACTCATCAAAACAATGACTGAGCTTCCGGCTGACAGGCCCTGCATTTTCTCATCAATTCTGCTCACATCTACTTATAAAATGAGCTGGTGTGAGCGCTCAAGTTCTCCAGAGTCTGTGGAGAGCTTCAGAGTAAGCGTGAGGAAGCCACCGTGACTGACTGCCACACTCTGCATGCTTCCAGAGAGCTGGGCCACCTCCTGCACAGAGCATTTATTTTTAACCATGTTAAAAATTTATTTTTAACATTTGCTGTTAAAATGGAGAAGCGGGGACGGTAAAGTGCTTATTGCCACCATTGAACATGCTTAAAAAAAAAAAAAAAACACACACACACAAAGAAAATGCAAATGGATCTATTTTCAGCTTTCCAATTTAGCCAAAGGCTGGTTATTGGAGTCTGACCCACCTCCGCTGCCCCATCTGCTCCCTGAACCAGAAGCTGCGCCGAGTGACTGCTCAGGGCACCAGGCCCTGCCCTGT